GGCTCAGCATCTCAGGACTGAGATCTTGAGATCCGACAAAGAATGGCCTGTATGTAGTGTTTGTGTCCTACCTGTTGTTGTGAGTCATCTCTCTGTGTTTTGCAAACTTAACATGCCACCCCAGGTTTTCTGTTCTGAATTTGGAATTACAACAAGAGCCTGGAAAAAACAATTCCTGCAGTCCAAGTATACGACTTGTATAGTCATTGATGGTGTACCTAATCCGGTATAACAAGGACACTAATGTATCTGTGTTACAGTGGGAGGTGGGTAATATGCAGTGATTAAAAGCTTCAGCTTTTTTTGTGAAATTATCCCCTCCTTTTCACTTGTACTGCAGATTGTACAGTTTGCAAGCTTTGCTGACATATTTTATTACATGGTAAATTTCATGTTAGATTTTAACATAGAAGTAGTTGAGTATATGAGAACTGAGTGAAAGGAGTGTTCTGCTTTGTTTGGAAACCACTGTTTTTCTATCATGATGTTGTAAAATAGTGGGGACCTGCAAAGTTTAAGGACTAGTGGTTCATTGCTTTTGAAATGCAATGATTTCAGATTGTCCACACAGAAGTATTGGGAACTGGTTGGAAGAAGATGAGTGAGGATAGATTTACAATCCTGCAGTAATTTTCATTCAGACTACCTTGTCTGATTATTTCTAGTTTTGTTAAAATTGTGTCAGAGAGACGCTATGAGCTTTCTAGGTGTAAAGGGTTATTAAATGTCTGGGCAGTTGAAATATTTTTTTTTAAAGATTTATTTTTTAACTGCATACATTTCCACAGAGAGCTATTTGTGGCATTTCAGAATACTGTTCTTAATACAAATATCTTAGGAATAACTGTTGTATTTATTTAATTATTTTTGCTTGGGATATTATCATTCAGTAAGAAAATGGAATAGTCTATTGGAGTACTTTGCAAGAAATGGTAATCTCTACCATTAAACATAACTCGGATCCAGACAGGGCTGGCTTTGAAGGTTTAAAAAATACTGTAGGCTAGCTTGAACATCTCTATAGAAGAAAGTTCTCAAAAGCAAGAGGTAAAATTTCATCACATACAGATGACTCACAATGTGTAGCAATGGGGAGATGTATGTTTAAATCCATGGGGACTCTTACAAAGAACATGTGACTTCTGCTTGAGTGTGATTGAGTGTTTCTGTTTTGGGCTAAAAACATACAGGATAATATTCTGGTGAGCAAGTGTAGAATTTACTTCTCTTTGGTGCAAAAACATTCATTACTTTCCGCTGTTAGAGTTGTTTCTTACTCCAGAATACCTGAATTCCCAATGGGATGAAATTGATCCATTTCATTTAAGCGAATTGTATGGATTTATTTTTGTATTCTCCTATAGGAAATTCACTATTTGACCTGTACTTTAATAATAACAACAATAACACAGAAGCCAATTCCTTCTAGTTTAAAAGAATGTCACTTCTGTTTCTTTTCTTAATGAGGCCAAATAAAATGCAAATTTGTATAGTATAGCTCTGCTAAATGGCCTGTTGAGTATTTTTTTCCCTAGTAAAATAAATCGTGGTTTGTATGTTCATGTACAATGAAATGAGGCCAAAAAATCTGTCATTTGTACCCTGTTTTCAGTTGTAACAAGATGGCTAACATTTAGTAGGGAGCTCAGGAGTGACATGTTATTACCATTTTAAATTGTAGATATGTAAAATTGGAACATTAATAAGAACATTAATCTTTATTTGATTGTCAAAGATTTCTTAGGCTTGTAGTGAAATAATTCTTGATTAACAGTTTATCTCTTTATCACTGAATAAATACAATTTCAAAAATATTTATTCTCCAGTGGAAAAAAGCTACAGTCACGGTGCAGAAAATTCCTCTTTTCCCATTGTGTATGGCTTCAGCACAGTGCTCTGGAGCTGCCATTGCCAGATGTGGACATAGTTCTTTTGAAAATAACAGTATCACTCTTATACACAAGGCTCTGGATAATTTGCTTCCCCACCAGAAGAACGTTGTGTGTGGGCGGATTATTGGCATTGCGCAGTCTGGGAAGCTGGATCCTACTGTAAACAGAGCAACAGATGAGAGTGGGAGCAGGGAGGGGCATACATCTCACTGATTATTTTAAGAAGACAAGTTCCAAGAAGCTCTGAACTCAGATGTAGGACAGAAAGTTTAAGCAGGCCTTGGAGTTTTCAGGATAAATGTGTGCATTTTTTAAATGAAAAAACTCTGAATCTGAGCTAGTGTGTGACATAAGTAACTTTTTGTTGCAGTCTATGCACTGACACAAGTAGCTTCTGAATCTACCTCTTAGTGGTCTGATGACCTTGTCACAGTAGCATTTCCATGTACATCATTGAAAAATGCAAAGTTCCAGCATCTCCATTACCTTTGGCCCATTATTTAGTAATGATTTTTGTTATGGCTCTGCTGGCTTTGCAAATAATTAAGTTCAGTGTAGTCTGTTTGGAGGTTGAAAACATGAGTTAAGTGTGTGTAAGATGACCTGATAAAAATTTAAATTTTAGATAAAAATGTCTTCATTTTTCTGCTGTGCTTCATTTACAGGTCCTTCAGCAGCTTTTAAATCACTTCCGAAAAAATAAGGATAAAGTTCTTCTTTTCTCCTTTTCCACAAAGGTGAGCTCCATGTGATTTTTATCAATTAACTGCAGCAGTAAGTTCTGAAGGGTGAATCTGAAAGTTGACAACTTGTCAACCACATTTCCTTATTGCGTCTATTGTTAGGAGTAATTACGAGGACAGTGTGCCATACTCCACAAGCATATTGAAACCTTATGTTACCTCATGATAAAAATGGTGACAGCAAAACAGGTGTAGCTCTTCTGCCGTCCCTAGACCTTTTTGAAATAGTTGTATTACTTCAGGTGCAGATAGCTAAGTTCAGCTGGTATGTCTTGAGTTACAGCACTGTCATAGCTCAGTATGACTGCCATATCATAAAACCTTTGTGTTAGCACTGAAAGTTAAGTTTCCTCATTCTGCTGACTTTTCATCATCAGCAATGAAACTCAAATTCTTGCTGCACTAGTTGATTTGAATTTAAAACTCTCTAATTGGAGTGAGACTTATATGTACATTTTACTTTTAAAGTACTTGCTCCTTGGTTTCCTTATTAGGGAGTAATGTCTTTCCTGAAATAGGTCACTCTGTTGTATTGGGGCTTTTATTTAAATATTTGTAATGATAGCACTAAAAAGTATTTTAAAGCATAGTAATTTGAATGGTAGTTCAGGAGTCTTAAATACCTTTTTTTTTTTTTTTTTTGACTTTAAGAAAGAATGCAAGTTTAATGTTTAGATGCAGCAGTAGATTACTCATGTATCTCTTAGGTTATGTGTTATAGTGTCCGGTACCAGACTGACTACTGGTTATTGCAGCGTCTTTCACTCCATACCCCTGAACTCTGACTGTGCACTCTGTGCCTCTGTAATGCTCATTTACTGTATTTCAAGTAATTGCAGCTTGCTAAGATGGGAGATAGCTGCTTAAATGGACTGTCTGCTGACTGTGTTGGATTGAGTGACAGGATGAAACAGGCAGCTAGAGTGGGATGGTGGAGTCAGACCACAGCACACCAATATTAATCACCCTGAATGCTGTGGAATCACGGCTAAAGAGAATCAGGAATGTTGATACCAAAGTGTCAGAGATTTACTGTAATTAGCAATGGGTGGTGTACTAAAAATATATTTTATAAACATGGTCCCTGTGATCATGTTTAATTTAAAAGATACTACTAAGTACCTAACTTTTTATTTTCCTTTTTTCTTCATTTTTCCACTCAGTTGCTTGATGTGCTAGAACAGTACTGCATGGCATCTGGGCTAGATTACCGAAGACTTGATGGAAATACAAAATCAGAAGATAGGATCAAAATTGTGAGAGAGTTCAACAGCCTTCAGGAAATTAACTTATGTCTTGTATCTACAATGTAAGAAAATTTAACTTGTAGCTTGTTTCAATATGTCTGTCTAGTGTTAGTAAATCAGTTACTCTGCATTTCTGTTGCTGAGCTTGTGAGGGATTACTTTTTGAGAAGATGAGAGTAAGTATAAACTTGCTGCTTTGGTCAGAAGCTTCTTAAAATATTTAGACCCCTCCCTCCCTGCCTGCCTCCCTCCCTCCCTCCTGCTTCATGAGGATTTTTAAGATCAGAAGGAAGTGGGTCTTCTGGATCCTGGTTTAAAGTTGTTGCAGGATTGAAGAAACAGTTTTATACACTATTATTAAAAAAATTATTATTATGTCATTATCTACAAAAGGCTTTTAATTTTATTGTAGACAGACTCATTTTCTTGTTTTACACTAGTAGAACTAACAAGTGAGTATGAACATGAAATGCCATATTGAGCTGAAAAATTCACTATTACTGCAATTTATTAATCATGTTAATTAGCTAGCATGTCTATTTAAAAGGTTTCAGCAAGATCTTTTGTCTTTTTGAAATGTACCTATCAGATTTGCTTATCAATTTATGATGAATAGCAAATTGTTTTGAAAAAGACTGTTTTGTTCAACTAAATTTATTGTTACTACAGTGACTATTTATTTGTTTTATTCAGGTTACTTCCTTGCTTCATCTTGAATGAAATTTTTTACTGGGGAAGGGCAGAAAAGGAGCAAAGAAAAGCTTTGTTCCTTTTGTCTCATATCCAGAGGGGAAAACTCAGTGAAACTTAATGAAATATGTGTTCACTGTAGTTTTTACTGGAAGTGAGTATGTTGGAGTTAGGAGGATCCAAACTACCTCAATATAACTAGAGCAGACATCATCTTAAAGGCTGTTGCAAGTGGATGTCCGAGCAATCTTCAAATACTCTGGTGCTTATGTATAGTGTTGTGAAGAGATTTGCGATACTGGTCGTGTCCATTGGCTTGTAATCTGTCAACTGTGAAATCGGACATGAGCTTCTCTAAGACCTTTGTGAGTCCATAGCCCTTGTCCCTGAAGACAGAGGGAAATTTCAGAAGCTGTAGCATCATGAAGGACTAATTTTTGCTTCAGTCAATACTGTAATCATGGAGCTGTTAGTTCTCTTTCATTAATTTAAATCAAAATAAGAATGAAGGTTAACTAAACAGAGATGGGCTTTCTCCTCTCTGTTTTGAGAGCTTGTGTGTAGAGACTCTGCCTGCTGAAGGTGCTGGAGAAAAGGCTTGATTCTATTTGTAGTTTTACTTATCTTATGAGACAACTGGAAGGAACAAACCATAATTACAGTCAGTATAGCTAGTATGTTATAAACAAAACAGAGGGTGTAATTTTTTGCCTAGTTTATTACAGATAACAGAAAGTGATATTTTTCCTTGCTTGGTGCACAGTAATGGAAGCATCTTTACATTTGTAATGCTTTGGAAATTAGAAAGTGATTTATCCTATTTCTGCTGTACAAGAGATTGATCTTTCCTCTTACTCAGATTTCAGGCACATATAAAGTAATAATATAGAGTAAATTTAGAGTATATTCTATATTATTCTGTGTTTTTCATTGCAGAGTACGTTGACAGAATTGGTTCATACTCTTCTCTCTGTACTTTGTTGCAAAGTTTCTGGCTGACTGGTCTGTGTAGTCAATATATATGTGTTCTGGAGGTCTCATTGCTCAAAGAACCAAATGTTGATTTTCACTGAAAATACTTGCATGGTCTTTTGGGTGCGTAAGTGCTTTCTGCAACGGATGAATTCTCTACATAGTAATCTTGAGACTGCCATTATGTTCACTGGCACAGTTAATATGCAACTTACAAAACATAAAACACCAATCAGAGAATTACAGTGCAGCACTGGTGAATTCGCTATTACATTTGTGGTGTTTGTATTTTATATTCCTTTTCTTTCAAATGCTGTTTCTGCCTGAAATCGTATATAATATAGCCCACAGAGCTTTGAAAATCCTGGTTTTAATTGATCACTGAAATTTTTTGAGAAATGGAATCTTAAAAAAGAAAATATAATAAAGAATAAAAAATAAACATTTGTCCATCTGTAGATTTGACCTCAAATCTTGAAGTTAATATTGGTACCAAGCATAGTCACGTGGCTATCCCTAATGCTTTTATTGACAGCTGTGACTAAAACAGACAGCATTATGGATAAATGTATTTTATAGGTGTTGAGAGGAAGTGTAATTGTTTTCTTTAGAGCTTGTACATTTCATCAAGCCATTAGATCATGAATTTCAGATTGAGCACTAGGGAAAAATAGGTATATACCTGTTGGAACTTCTAAGTCTCATGAAGTAATACTTCGTGAGAGTACTTCAGTCTTGCACTGGTGTTGCTGGGAAAATATGTGATTATTTAAAAAAGAGGATTTTTAGGCATGCTTAGAAACATTAAAATAATTGCTGGAGTTGCTGTAACTTGATAGGAGAATGTCAAGGCTTTCAGTTCCAGTGGTGCTGCTTAGCCAAAAGAAGGGAAACTGTATATGTACAGTACCAAAGTCAGCACAGTTCTATTCCATCTTAGTTTTCTGGAATAAATAAAAGCAGTGACTATGTCTGCCTTTAAATCACTGTTTCTGGATTTTTTGGTGCTAGTCATTCTCTAGATTGGTTCTGTCAGAATTAACTGTTAATGAAAATCCATTTCTGCTTCTCAGCTTTCTTTTTATGTAAAAAGAAGTGTCTACAGAAATTTGTAGGTAGTTTTTATCATGTAAGGTTACATATCCACTTCCATTCTACCTGCAGCATTCTCTATTACTGTCCATTACTGGACTGCTGTTAGTTACTTTTTACTTTTACATTTAGCTTTAATTTTTTCACAGCAATGTTTTGAGCAACTTTCAGTGTGCCTGTGATGACATCCAAAGAACTTTCAGCCACAAAAATCTCTCTGCAACAAAGAACATAGAAACCCTAGAAAACCCAGCTTGGTAAACAGAATTACATAATCAAAACTTTTATAAAACCTTTCCTAATGTAGTATTGCTCTGTACCTTTTGAGGTACTGAGTTGTGCAGATTTAAGTAAGATCATCTTCTGAAAGCTGTTCTTTTTAATAAAACTCTTTATTTAAGCCATATCATACTAATTTGCTTGGACCAAATTGCAGTAATGACTAGCTGCTAGTTAAAATGAGAGGTAAAATGGAGTACATAACTTACAATGCACAAACTTCTGCATTTGTTCTGTCTATGAAGGATATAAGAGCCATTCTTTTCTGTTTTGGACTAACTGAATTTTTGGGTCATACCTAAAAACACTGAAAGGTAAAATTAGTATAAATCTAGATATCCTGTTTTGTTAATTTTTGTGGACAGTTGGTTTTACATCTTCACTTATGTTTCAGTCCAACTGCAGGGTTGGTTTGGAAACAGGAAAGGCTGAAGTCTTATTAATGAAAAAAGAGTTTTAATGAAAAAAGAGTTTTTTCCTTAAAAAGAAGCACACTAAATTTGAAAAATACCATAATGTATTCTGAAAGAAAAACCCAACCAAATATTGTTATTCAGTAATTCACTGTTTGAGAATGTGAGTTCTCTGGAAACATCCATTAATATTGGCAAGCTTCTATATCCCCTCCCTTTCCAGATACAACTAATCCTAAGCTACACCATACTTAGAAAGGAAAGGCTGCAGTTGCATTTACATTGACATGGATTCCATGAAAACCAGAAGGTGGAGGGGCTCCATAAGTTTTTGGTTTCTGTCTCCATTCACTCTTAACACCAGAAAACTTTACCTTTCTTGTATTTCTTATCTGCTTCAAACAAGCAAAATTTAAAGTAATCTGTTGAACTAGGTGCTTGATAAGTTAATGGGATTTACTTTTTCAATTTTGCAGTACCTGTTTTAGAAAAATAGCGCACTTGGAATTAGTGATGCCTATGCTAATGTGAATAATTGTTTTAATAGTTTATTTAATGATAGTATTAACTTGTGCTTGTGTAGGAACTTATGTCTTTTGTATGATAGTTGGTTGAGCCAGTCAAAAAAAAAAATTCAGTATTTGCTTGCTTTGCAACTGGATGAGAAGTGGTATTTTCCTCACTTTTGCTCCTATCAAATCATTCATCTAAGCATGTGCTAAACTCTGAGTAACTGAGCAGTTTTGCAGGGTTCAGGAGTTAGCTGCATCAGGTTAGATGTATGCTCAATTTCTTCTCGGCTTGCAAGTTTTACCTGAAAACACTCTTTAGCTGTTGAGTGTTCTGAGATGATGCAGGTGGTACCTCTGTGACTTCTAAGCCACAGAGCAGATAAATTTCTCATTGTGACTTTTTTCGCTTTAATGACTGTTATGAATGTTGCTCATATGCAATGTGGCCAACTGTGTTTTTAACAGCTGAATAACTTATTGTACAAATACACTTGTGTTAGTTGTTAATGCTTACAGGTATGGCTTACCTGAGATTGTGACCACTTTAGTGAAAGTTCACAGCATTATTGTCAAAAACTATGTACTGGGATTAGCTGAGGTAAAATTTCACCTGTAACTTTCCTGCTTCCATAATATTAACTGGCTTTAAACTGGTTGTGAATTTCATTATAATATTAGGGGGTGTTGCCCTGTGTAGGACTTAATGGGAAATTAATGGCAGTGGTTATTTGAGTACTTGGCGGTTTAGTACAACAGTACTAAAAGTACAACAGTAACACAAAGCTGTACTGCACTTTTTTCAGTATCTTTCATGTGTTCTTTTTTTTAAGTTGGGGAAGAGTAGGCAAGTATGGACCTAATACAGAATAATCTAGTTGCACGTTTTTTTCTTACTATCATAGAGTTTTGGTTTTTCGTTTTTATGTTTTCAGGGCTGGTGGACTGGGTCTTAATTTTGTTGGTGCCAATGTTGTTATACTGTTTGATCCTACATGGAATCCAGCAAATGATCTTCAAGCGATTGACAGGTACACTCTCAAAATACAGAACTTGATCCATGTTGCACTCTTCCATTGATTCTGTAACATGATTGTCCAACTAAATTTTTTTCTCAAGTAAGAAATTTTTACTTTGTCTGATTAATCTACAAGACAATAGGAAAGAAAAGTCCTACTAAATTATTTTTTAACTCTGATGTGATTATTTTAACCTAAATTTTACAATATATTTTCCTTTATTTCTTCTTTTTTTTGCAGCAGCAGCAGGCCAAACAAAAACTCAACAAAAAACTCCTTGTGGTTATCATAACTATTTTGTGATCCCTAGAATATATATGTGTGTGTAGATGACATTTTTCTTGAAGAATACATTGCAGTTGACCCCAGTTTAAATGGTGTTTTGAATTCCCAAACCATAAAAGACAGGGGCTCCTTATGTTCTCTTCTGCTTCACAGTTGTGGAGATTAGTGTCTTTTTAGCACTTATATCTATCTCTGATATTATGGTGTTGGAGTATTTACAATGATGCAGATTTTTCTTTCCAGGCTTGTTGACTCTTGGTATTTCCCTAAGAGTTCAAGGCAGACCTTTGAGTAACTGAAGAATACTAAAAACCTATAAAAGAATATTAAAAAATCAGTAGATTTATATATTTTCATGAGCAGAAATACACTTATTTCTGTTATCTCATATAATTATGTAATCTGGTTTTAAGTGTCTTTCTGATTATTGGGATGTGTTTATGTGCACCTGTTCTAGAGAAATATATCAGGAACATGTATTGTGGACTATCTTTAAAGAATCTTTGTAAGATCACATTACTACTATGAATTGTTTTAGCCTCCTGTGAATTTTGTGGAATATAGTCTATTAGACATCTCAGAATTTACCATTTGAATAGAACACTGTGCCACTTCATTAGCTGTTTTTATGATGTTGTATCTTGTAAAGTAATTTATGAAGTTAAGAAAGAACCGACTGCTCCAAGTAATCTATGAATTAATTCTGTATAATGGAAATAGGAGAATACTTTGAGCAAAAGTAGGTGGAGACACAAAGGGGAAAAAAAACCCCAGCAAACCCTAGATAAACAGAGTGGATGTGTTTGGTGGAGAGGTGGGAGACAGTTCTTGTGATATAAAATGAGGAGAAGGCTTTTTAAACTGGGTAGGCCTGGGAGAAATATGAAATATTAAAGGTAAAGGAAAAGGAAATCAATTACTGTGGAAAATTTGGAAAGGTAAGGAAAACAGCCCAATCAACATATACATGATTTTGAATAGTACTGTTTTATTAGACTGCTTTTATATATTTAGTTTGTTTACTTTTATTGCTTCCCCTAAGAGCTCTCATTTCTTCAAATGTTTTTAATGTGCCATGTCCTTGCAGAGCTTATAGAATTGGCCAACACAGAGCTGTTAAAGTGTTTAGATTGATATCCTTGGGAACTGTGGAAGAGATGATGTACTTGCGACAAGTTTATAAGCAGGTAAAGCTCACAAACTGTTTAAATTGGGAGTTCTTCCTAGCAGTTTCAGGGATTGAAAGCTAATATTTTTTCAGGGACTGAAAGCTAATTTAGCCTGTAGTAAAATTGTAGTTTATTTTGTGTTTATGTTATGTGATGTTACCTTAACATACTAAGCCAAGCTTAGTAGCTGTTAAAGAGTGGAACAGAATAACATTTCTATTCAAGTGTTTTTCTTTAACTATTCACAGTTTAATTATGCAATGTACATTATTCAGGTTATATAGAGAACTGTTTTTATTTGAAGGTTTATAAAGTACAACTGTGATAGTTATAGTAAGTATCTGCAGCAATCTGATTCACACAGCTTTTTCTCATGAAAGTCTGGAGAAAGGAAAGGAGAAGTCTTGCTGATGCTATAGAAGAAAAGTTGATGAGCTCGTAGAAAAAGAAGACCTGGATATTGTCTGTTTGGATTTCCAAAAAGCATGTATAAGTCTTCAAAGGATGTATAAATATTTTTCTTTTTTTTTTTTTCAAATTGACTTGTATTTTTCAAGTTAAATATGCAGTAATAAACAAGATTAATTATAAGTCTGAGGGGTTGGGTTTTTGTCAGCTATACTTGAATTGCTTTCCCTTAGCAAGTAAATATACAGGGCAAGGGAAGGTGAAAAGATTGCTAATAATTTAGTATAGTGGAAGCTGAGCTGTCAAGATACAGAGGAGTGCCAGTAACATGTATAGTAGGTGTCTGATAATAGGCAACAATGCAGTAAAAGTCTTCAAATGTTCTATTTTTTTTTTTAATTCGGTAACGCCAAGCAGGTTCATATTATACCACAATCTATTATACCAACCTCTGCCGGGGAAATTAAAATATCCTTGCTTAGGAATTTCTGCTTGTTCCAGCTAAAGCTGTGTATATAATGTGGGTGCCTGGAAATTTTGACGTGTTGTTGTAGCAAACACTTCTGAAATCTCTTGTGTTGTTCTGTTTTAGCAACTTCACTGTGCAGTGATTGGAACTGAAAATGCCAGACGGTATTTTGAGGCAGTGCAAGGATCAAAGGAACATCAAGGAGAGCTTTTTGGGATTCATAACCTTTTCAAACTTAGGACTCATGGGTCCTGTCTTACCAAAGACATACTGGAGGTATGAAGTCCCTTTTACTTTTGGATATTAGTTTTACATTTTTCCTTTCTTGTGAGACTTCTTGGTCATTGTTTTGAACGGAAACAGTATAAAACAGAATGATGATACTTAACCAATACTTATCTGGGCAATGACTTAAATGAAATAGAAATGCTAATTTCTTGTTCTGATATGGACCCGATAAATTTCTCTAAATCCAAGAATGGTAAAACTTGGTTTATAATTTTTGTAAATTTCCTACTATATATATTTTTTGCATTAAAAACTACATAACTTATTTTTTGATCCTTTCATGCAGCTTTGTGCACAGATACCTCTTATTCATCAGAAACTCATATTGAACTTTTAAGCCAGAATTTGTATAATAAAAATATTTTTTATGACCACATTAACCTCTTTAGAGTACTTTTTGAGTGGTCAATAACTGTTAAAAAAAGTTTGCTGCAGCTAGCTTACATCTTCAAATTTACTGCAGCTTTATTCTGTGTTTCTTTTTCTTTCCATGCTTCCCTTTATTTTGTTATTTTTCCTCTGCTAAGAATTTAGTCTGGACCATGCTGATTTTACTTCTGGTACTTACACTTCCGGAAAACAAAAGAAACTTCTTTTTCCTGTGCTTGTCTTTGTGTATAATAAAAACTGAATCTGTTTATGTTAACTCTTTGGTTGTCTTAGAGGGAAGGACGGGTAGAAGCAGGAGTCATGACAGCAACTACATGGCTGAAGGAAGAGAATAATTCGTGCAGCTCAGAAAAGGTGAGATGTCTTTGTGGACTGTAGACCAGAGCATGACAGGCCTCCAGTTCCCAATATTGCAGTGGCAAATGTGGGCAATGTATCATTAGGCTGATGATACTTTTACTGTGTTGTTAAGATGATTTTGTTTAGGGAATTGTGGAAAGGAGTACTAGGGGTTTAGATGATTGAAAGCTTCAGGTTTTGTGGAACTCTTGAAGACCTTGGCTATTTAGTTATTGTAGTCAGACAATCAGAGTGATTCCCACCAAACCAGTGGTCTGTTCAATACTGTCTTTTTTCTGTTTTGGGTTTTTTTTTAATGTATATAATTATCTAATGGTTTCCTTCTGGAATAAGATTTTTTTTTAAATTTTTTTTCAACAAAGGCCAGTTTTAATAGGAGCATTGCATTTGTAAGAATGTTTTGACTGAGTGCCATGTTCAGATACTTTGAGTAAAGGTATCATTAGATTAGATTGCACTGAATTATATTACAAATTAGCCACTGTCTCTTATGCCTGTTGGAGATTTCTGTGAGTATATGTCAGTATTTAATGTGCCCTTACATTAATCTCAGTCTCATATTCATAATACATAACTGGATGGTCATGATCTCACATATGGCTTGCTGACAAAAAGGAACTTCTTAAGCTTATATTAAATGCTTTTTGATGAGCAGAATTATATCAGGGTTAAAATATTAATTTTAAAATATCTCTGAGTACAGAATTTTGATATTTATGGTTCTGACTTCAATTTACAGGCTGTCATGATTCTTACCTCAGTAGTATGCAGTTCTGGAGGGGTGTTCTGGACTTTTATCTTAAAAACATTTTAAGATTGCCTGGGCATAATTTTGTTTGATTACAGAAGGCCTTGATGAATTTTAGAGCATTCATATACAAGGAAGTAAACCACTACCTTAGAATTATTTTTATTATGAATGTCAGTACACACAATATTAAAGCTTGAATCATGAAGTCATCTTCCAAAGCACCCTTGAAAGACAAAAAGTAGCAATGAGATTAGTATAAACTTAAAAAATATGAATGTGGATTGGGAAGGCATAAGTTGTTTTAGCAGTGTACAGCATATATTGTCTCAAGTACATAAACTTTGGTTATTTTCACTGTTTTTCTGCTAAAAATAAGACTTCAATAATTTCTCATTATGAATTATTTTGCATTTTATAATACTACTTTGTGTATTTTTTACTTGAGTAACAGTGAAAATCCACTGTTTTACTCTGCTTTGAAATTAGGCATGTTGAGTGTACTATAAATATTAAGTAACTTTGCAGATTTTTTTTGTTTTTGGCTTTTTTTTAGTATGAACAAACAGACTGTCAAGAAGATGGAGATCCCCAAAGCATTCAGGCACACTTAAAAAGAGAAGAAACTGATTTTTGGGATGATTTGAGTGATGATGATATTCTGGAGAGTTCTGTGAAAAAATCTGACAGAAGAAAGCCATGCAATGAAAATGTAACAAAAGGACAGCTTTCCTTAATGCAGTGTGGATTCTCTAAGTTGTTGCAGAGAGAAATTGAGACTACCAGAGAAGGGGATCACAATTATGACTCTAATCCTTCAAGTTCTGATGCTCACACTATAAGAAAAAATGTAAATAGCAAGCATGGTGGTTTTCAGAAATGTCAAACCAGTGTGCCTGTTTTGGAGCATGGGAAAGCTGTTCTGTCTCCAAATGGAAGTGATAAAGAGAGTATGCATAGTACAGAGTGGCTTGGTTTATCAGGCTCTGAGGAGGAAGGCAGCATAAAAAATGAGAATCAAAGCATTTTAAAGCAATGTGACATAGTCATGGAAACTGAAAGTAGTTCTGAAGCAGATGATGATGTCATCTTTCCTACCCAAGTTCAAGTATGCCAGCAACCAGTGCTTACTAAAGAAATTGAAATACATAGGTCAACATCTGAAAATTGTGAAGAGTTAGCAAAAGAAAAAGCTGGGTTTGTATTTAAGGGAAACAGTAGACAATTTGGATTCCACAGTACTGAGTCAAACTTCGCCATATCTTTTGAAGATGTTAGGAATGACATAGATTTGAAAGGAACGAGCGATGTAAGCGATGAGTCTGATGATATTGAACTTCCCTATAATTCTGAATCAAGAAAGCCAGGAACTCTGAGTTTTCCCAAGTGGAAGAAATCTCTACCACAAGCAAAGAAGCCCTGTAGAAAAGGAAGGGAAAGTGATTCCCAGAATATAGATGAATTCTCATCCTCTGAAGATAATTTTCCAATTGAGAAAATTCATGCCAAGAAGAAAAGCTATAGGAGTAAACAGAGTAGCAGAATTCAGTTTGGGTCTAAAATGCTGTGTCCTATTCAAGACATGTCTGTTGCACAAATGAAGTCAGGCAATTATGCTGTGCATAGCACTTACGCAAGTAAAACTGTATTTGAGCATCAAGAAAAAAGAATGGAATCAATGGACAAATATTTAGGTAACTATTAAGTTAATTTGTTCAATTTTATTTCAGCTAAAGTAATAACATATGTCTAATTTACCATTGTCAGCAGATTTTAAGTTCTTATTGCTGTACATTTTTTTTGTTATAAGATGTAGCAAATGCTAAGTTGTTTTTCAGAAATATCTTTGTATATCTTTCTCTTTATTAGTCTTACTTTTTGTCTTACAGGGTGATAGGCTGCTTTGTAATTCTTGGTTAAACTTGTACAATCTCTTGAAGTATGCTGAGATTGAAGATTTATTAAAAATTCACAAACTAAATATTTGTAAGATCTTACAAGTCTTGACAGGCCTATTAAATAAAGTGCACAGAAAAAAATGTGGTTTGGGAGTTTTAAACACCATGTGGAAGACTTGATTCCTAAACTTAATTTTAACCACTGATGTTGTAGCTGTTAAGTCATAGATGCTTTGGAATGTCTTTGTCCATCTGAAAATAACCACACTAAAACTGAAGTAGTAATAAACTGTCTGGATAAATACAAATAAGTCTAATGATTGTTGTTAATTTCATATAGCTGGGTTACTTGGTGTTGAGTGAAATAGTAACAAATTCTACAACTTCAGTGTAATTTTTTTTTTTTAAATTACAGTATCCTTCTGTGCAGATGTGTATCTTCAGTGTTTTGGAATAACATCCTTGTATTTTTCTCATCATGTATCAGATGGCGTTCAAGAAGTGGCATATATTCATTCAAATCAGAATGTGGTTGGATCCAGCAAGGCTGAAAATCACTTGAGCCGATGGGCGGTGCACGACGTGTTTGAGTTGAAGCAGTTTTCCCAGCTGCCTGCTAATGTAGCTGTCTGTAGTGCCAAGGTAAAGAGATATTTTTGGAAATGTCATTTTAACTTTTCTTTATCCTCATTTTTCATCTTAAAAAGCTCTAAAAAACTTGTTTTTCTGTTACTGGCCACCATGAATGATCAAAGACACTGAGGATGGAAGGAAGAGAATGCTCAGTTGGAAGTCTAATAAATTACTTTGTTTTTTTGGGGTGGCTTTTACATTAGCCAGCTTTGAAAGAGCTGGTAATTAAACAGCACAGCATCCTCTGTGGGATTTTTCTGTGGGAGAAATATTAAGACTAGAGTTTTGAAATCAAATTCTGTGCCGTGTTTTTCTGATTTGAGCCTTGAAAAATCTTCAGTTTGTCCTGGATCCAGTTAACAAACATCCAGTTGCCACAATACGTTCTGAACACCCTGTAGCATAGGAATACATGAGTTTGCAGACTCACTTGGGGAGGTGAGCATATGCAGTTGCTATAGTTAAGTCAAACTGTCTATGTTTAATGTCTTAAACATAGAAGTAGAGTTTACTGGGAGTTCTTATTTGCAGCAATGGTTATGTTTAATGTTTTTTGTTGATTCTGTAGCTTGTTTAATTGCATTTGGAATACACACAAATCTGGAATAAATTCAGGTACATCATTCATATTTTTTATTCTTACTACACAATGCTCTGATTATCTGGGTACAAACATTTCCCATTCCTAGACTGATTTTTAAGATAAACCACAAGCAGAGAATAAGTAATTGATGAATGTGCAGCTTAGTCTTTACAGACACGATAGCTATCCTTACAGAAATTGTAGACATACGACTGTGTTGTTCTGGGATGTTGAACATCCACAGTGGCTAGAAGAGTTTCTTCCAGTGCTGTTGTTTTACTGTATTTAATTAAGCCATTAGCAGAGCTGCCAAGAATTTTTATACTGGGAAGATCAAACTAGGCAAACCAGTAAAAGTAAGGCCTTTTCAATTTTAACACATTTGCATTAGAATGTTCCTCATTAGCAGAAAAGTTGGTCAAAAATACTCATGAGTACAGTAGGAACGTACTTATTAATTGGCAATGGCTGACAACATTATTAAAACCAAATAAAAATGAAAGAAAACTTTGAAGAGAGTATTTTGAGTAAATGTCTGTGATCCACCTCTGTTCAAAACTAGTTTGTGATGTTCATGTAACTTAGAGCTTATTATGTAGAGTTATGTGACTGCAAGTATTGCAAATTAACTTACCTTGATTAACTCGTCAGATTTTTTAAGGTATGCACTTTTCACTCGGAAGCAGCAGTAGTATCATTTCTCCTGGAGATCTAAGTAGGAAGAAGAACATCAAAAAGTACGGAGAAGGCTGCCTCTCCTTTTTTCACTACCTGTTTTTCATTTACATAAAGGCACTAGTGTAGAAATAAAAGATAGATGACTGCCTATTCTTAGATGTGTCATTTTTGTGGTCTGCTTAAAAGAGAGCTTCTTAGACAATTTTGAAAGGTTCTCTACTTAGAATTTTATTGATACTGTTTTTCTTTCTTCATTACTTTGTATTTCTTTAGAAGACATTTTGTGAAAAAAACATGGTCACTGTTGTGCTTCTGGCCATCAGGCTTTGCTGGTCAATTTTCACTTATTTGCCGTCAAATGAAGTTAGGACATTCACTGTCTCAGCATCTACCTATTTTATCATAAATAATACTGCTTAATAAAAATGTTTTTCGTTAGAATAAGGTAGCATCATGTGTAATACTAAACATACAGCTGAGTCATTTAAATTTCCATAATTGTTTTAAGTAAATAAAGGTACACTTTTGAATGTTGGAATGTTAATTGGAAACTGACAGTTACTGAAGAAAACACAGAGTTTTGTCAGAAATTTTGAAATTCCTTATTAATGTAGATTTCAAGTGTCATTGGTCTAATAGTTTCTCAGAAACTTGTCTAGCTCTTTCTGTTGGCTTTGGGTATCAATTATATTAGATTCTTAATTGGAAGCTTTTTTTACAGTATATTTAGGCTGAAGCTTTATGTGATACTATCATGAAGGCGTCTGAATAATATTTATACTCTGATAATATTTATTATTCTTAGAACAGCTAATCAAATTGTTTTCTTTCTAAGTAGAAGCAATCAAGAAAGGTTATTTTCATTTCACAGACAGGTCTGCTCAGGACCAAAAAGTATAATGTCATTTGTGCTCATTTGTGCCCTGTCTGTTCATTTTACCTGTGGCAACTCTGTCTTCCTGCTTTCCAATTTCACTCAGTGAGCAGTCTGTAATAATACGTCTCTGATATAATACATTTTAAAATCATTTTCCAAGCAATGACCTATATCTCTGTGAAAGGTGTTCAAGAATTTTGAAAAACTATAAGTATTCTGTTGAATTGGATGAGTTGAAAATTGGGAAATACAAAATCCTACAAATCCTGGTAGGAGAGTGACGTTTTTGTTTCATGCTTACATAGAAATGCTTACTAGTTTAGCTACAATGTTCACATTTATACTACTGAGTGCTTGTTTGGTCTGTATTTCTATAAGTACTGTATGACTCTGAAAGACAGTTTGGTAGCAGCAACCAGAATATAAAGTATGCCATCAAGAAACATAAACAAGACATCATGATACCTCTCTCACTACTTAGCAGCTGTGAAAGGTGAGATAAAATCCAGCAGTAATAAATGTAACAGTGTAAACTATGCATTAATTGTACAATCAAGAGAATAAACCATCATTTGATTTAATATCATTACCCAAAATAAATCCTGTCCAGCACCTGAATAAAAGAAAGTCTGTGTATGACAATAATAGCAGCAAGCATATGTGGAAAAGTGTTTTATCACATGATCCATTGTGGAACATGTTTCTTTTATCACAGAAGTCCATGGGATTGCATAAAAATAGAAGAAGATGCTCTAGGTGTTAGGTGAGTTGAAGCAGCATTCTCAGTGAAGAAAGACATTGTCAAGTTGTTACAGAATGAATTTTCATAAATAATCATCTACAGCAGTGGAGATTCATTTATAGTTTATTTTGCAAGTATGATGAGTGAAAAGAGTAAGATTAACTGGAGTATTTTGACAGACGTAGCATGATAGCTCTTAAATGCTTAGAATTAAAATGCTTAGAATTAGAATAAAAATATTGTAATACTAATAGTTCCTGTATTGAATGTTATTATCCTTTGTTTGAAGATTATCTGTTTCTGACCATGGCCCACCACTGTCAGTATAGAATTGCTGTAGATTTTGAGAAGAAAATATGTAAGATCTATAGAGTATGACTCTTAAAGTTCATCTAGTTCAAACTCCCTCCTGCAATCAGCAGAGACATCTCCAACTAGATCAGGTTGCTTAGAGCCATATCCAACCTGACCTTGAATGTTTCCAGAGATGGGGCATCCACTGCCTCTCTGAGCAACCATCTTGCAGTATTTTACAATCTTCACTGTCAAAAAGCCTTCCTCCTTATGTCTTGTCTAGGTCAAAACCAGGCCCTGATGGAAAGTCTTTTTCCATCTCTCTTGCAGACCCCTGTTAAGTGTTGAAGGACATACAAAGGAAGTTCTCTCCAGTGTCTTCTCTTCTCCAGGCTAAATAACTCGAAGTCTCTCAGCCTTTCCTGACAGGAGAGGTGTTCCATCCCTCCACTCATATTTGTGGCTTTTTTCTGCACTAAGAATCACCTGCCTTGACCTGTGGCCACACTTCTTTTGATGAAGCACAGAACAGTATGACAATCTTCCCTCAAAGCGATGATGTTTCTGATAGTGCCGCTTATGCAGAAGGGACTGATGTGTCAATACTTGGAGGTGTTTAGAGCCTCAGTAATCAAAACAAAGCCAGGGATTTCTGTTCAATGCAAAAGTGTGGTAGGCAGCTGTTTCTGAAGAAATTTTGGAGATATGGATTATACTGTATAATAGGTTAATAGTACATCTCATCTTCCTTTATAGTTATAAACTTTACTTGCATGTCCCAGAACGTGTCACAGAAAGTAGACAGGTGTGTCTCTGTGCAGTTTGAGATCTCATGCTACTTATAATCTTTGCTAAGTCATGAGTGTTAAAGTGTGAGTTTCATTTCTATTTGTGATGCCATGATACAGAGAGAATCACATGAGGCTGTAGTAAAGACCTTGAGGTAGAAAATGCATGTCATTAATTGTGGCACATGGCCACTCCAGTAAAGATTACTGAGAGCTGTTATATGACAACAAAACATACTTTATGTGCTGCTTCACTGAAGATTATTCATAGGAAGGGTTTTCTACTCTGTTATATACAAGGATGAAGGAGAAAGATTATATTGCAAATTAATCTACTGGAATAAGTATCTTGGTTTTTTTCTGGGATTATTTTGTTTGGTTTAGCCTGATTTGATGACATTGAGCACTCTGTGTTCTGCACTTGAGTTGAAATTCAAGTCTTGTGCTAATAAACTTTTTAAACAATGTGTTTTCATTAAACAAAGATTGCTGTCTATTATCACATCACTATATGTTAAGAACATATGTTAAGGTGAAAACCAGAAATAACTATTTTGTGTAACCACAGAAAGAATTGTATGGAAAACAAAAGCTTCTTAAAGCAAATGTGTGTAATGAATTTGTAGATTGTACATGGTGGACTTGCAAAGGCAGACTGTAATTTTCAGGGCAGACGTACATTTACTTCAGCCTTTCAGAGAGAAATAACAGTCTTGAGTAATTAAGGTGATACTTTGCTCAGAATTATTCTGACATTAATTTTGAGGAAAGAAAGGAAGTGTTAACAAACTCTGTAAGGCCTTAGTCATCTACTGAGTATTTTTAGAGGTTTTATTTTATTGGTGGGCTCCAGGTTCCAAAGCAACCTGATTTCTGTGCAGAAGCTTTTTACATATTTGGGTTTTTGGTAACTTGCACTGAAACTTCTACTTGTGAAACTTTTTCTTAGCAACCATGAGAAAGAGAAAACTCCCAGAGGCAAGATTTAAATATATTCTAATGTTTCTAGTCTATTCTGAATTAAATGACTGCATTTCCTAATGAATTTCCTAATTAATTTCTATGTTAATTGGCAAAAACAGCTTATGTTAAATGTTTTGCACAGTATGGAAGTCTGGGATAGGCTTTCTCTAGTTCTTATACAGCTGAATTTGTGTAGTATTTCTTCAGTAGGAGTCCAGAGTGTGGAGGGGCAGGCCGGGGGGGCTGTGTGAGCATGGGGAAGTCTTTGGAGAAGGCTTGGAGGTTTCACAAAGAAAGACAGAAGATGGGAAAAGGACATACTAATTAATTTGAAAAACTGATGATGTTCCATGTTAGAGCAAGTTGCACTTATTAATATATGGAAAAGTATTAGTCACAAGAACTTGTAGTATACCTGTTGAATATGTTAAGTCTTTTTTCTGTCAACTGCATGTTTTCAACTTAAGTTTACTTAAAGTTTTACTGAAAAGAAATGTACAAAGACAGCCATTCAATTGAGGATTAATCACTATGGCAACAGAAATGTGGTGACTGAAAAGGGGGAGGATGTATTCTCCCCTCAGCTTCCTGCCAGCTGTCATATTCAACCTCTGCAGCATGAATTCAGGCCAAAATATAGACTGTGACCAGCTCTAAGAAACTTTATCTGTATTTTTATAAATTTGTACAAGAATTGCACTATAAAGGAAGACTTAATCCCCTGAATTGGATGACAGACATTTGGCACTATTGCCAGTGTTTGACAGAGAAATAACGAGATGCTTTGTAGTAAAACCTGGATTAATGGTAAACCCCTCTTTATGTTATTGCAATGTGGTGTAAATGAGAAAACTAAGCATGCTGTCAGCCTAGGAAAAAACATGCCCTTTGTATCTCCGATGCAGATTTAAGCACTGTTGAGAATACTGTAAATACAAAAGTTGTGTCATTAAGAACTCTACTTTATCTTATTTGTATTACACTGACATTTTGTAGATTATTTAAACAAAGACATTCTATCAGTTGTAGGAACTCTGATTGCAATGTGTTTGCACAGCTTTCAGATTCAACAAGTTTAGATAGTTGTTTACAAAGAGTAGACTTTTGGGAGATAACATGCCTTTGTCCTTGCTCTTCTGGGATGGGGAACTACTCAGCTTTAAAGTAATTGTTCTGAAATGATTGGCCTGTAATGCTGCTTTATTGAGTTTACTGGTTCAGTTTGCAATGGAATTATTCCACTATTCTGCTTTTCGTTGTGTTTTTATAATGTAGTGAGTTAAAATGTGTCATTCTTTGAAGCTTGTAGTGGAGGTTTCATTATGATGTATGTGCATCGCCTTTGGTTTTACTACTCTTTGACAGAAGGATGGTGGCTGCAAGTCCACAGCTTCTGCTGGAATAAGCAATTACCTTAAGCTTTGAATTCTGGGACAGGCTGAGTATCTCCTCTCATTCTCAACAGTAATAACTATATTGATTCAAGGTCAGCTTCTTGGTGAAAGACAGTAGTATGTCTTATAGGAGTTACTTTAGGTAAAGGTTTAAAAACTTAAGATTGATCCTAATGAGAAATTCTTGCTGTTACCTGATTATAGAAGAAACAGACTCAAGTAAATGTGAAATAGAGAGGATGCAATCTGTTCTCAATTGATATAGTAGTCAATTGTCCAGTACCAAGCAAAAGATTAGAGTTTATGGAATGTCTTTGTCTGAGCTTGTTTATGCAATAAAGCTACATGTGACACATATGGGGAAATGACTGCATATTACTCTAAAATTTGTGTAATTTTGTCAGATTTAATTCTACTGGGGTGTTGGTGCTGGCAAAATATTTTGGAGGAGTAATTTAGATATGTAGTATTCTTAACAGTTTTTATAACTTGAAAAATATTTCTGCTGTTAGTCTGCTGGGATACATTCAAATATTAGATACAATTGAAATCATACCAAACATGCTTTGTTTAATTCAGAAAGCTTGATATAAATATAGTTATCCTAAAGTATTCTAAAATGTTAAGGTAGGTTACCTTCATTTTCTAAGACAATTAAGGTATTGACTGTTGACTGTATATTACTTGTAATTCTGATTCTTCAACCTTGTTTTTTTTAGAACAGCAGATGCATTCATTCAGAGACTGCTTTTCCATTAAAAAAGCTAAATTCAAAGGAAAAACTAATGTCCACGTCAAAAGTAGTTTTGAAATATTGTAAGGCTCATTTCAAACTGGAATTTTTAACTCACCATACGTCTCTGAAGTACATTTTGTTCAGTAGTGTGTTCTTGGCAAGTAAAAAAGTAATTCTAGTTTATTTAAAATTCATGTGAAAGTAGTTACTTTTTTTTGCTAATTGTATTTTTTGTCTTCACCATGTGGACCTCATTTTTAAAGAAACTGCGTGAAATTTATTACAATTTATCTTCCTTGACCTACAGAATAATTTAGGAAGAAATTCTTGTGTGACATGTACATGTACTAGATTGAGTTTAAAACATCCCCTTCCAACTCAAAGTGCTCTATCAGTCTGTGTAGAAGAGAGAAGGAAACAAGACAAAATGGACAGTCGGGTATCAAACATTTCTTGGTACTTTGTGTACGTCCTGACAGCAAAGAAACATTGGTAAATTAATATGTAGCAATAGCATATGTTCAAGAAAAGCATAGAAGGGTCATAATAACTAATATGTATAACTGGAAAAATTGCTAGGGGAAGAAAACCCAAACCAACAAAAACCTCCAAACTGGACCAAAAAACCACAAGGAAAAACTGCAAAGGGGAAAAAGATTAGTTGAAATAATTTAGAATTGTAGATAAAGACACTGGAATGCAGTATCAAATCATCAAATGAATAGCATAATCCAAAACCAACTTCAGCTCTCAGTGTATTGGGAAAGTCATGTGTTTTCCCAAGTTTTGAGGGAAGTGGGAAAATATAAATCAATATATGACATAATGGTTTGTTATTTGTTGTAAGAAGTATTTCAAGAGCTTAGTCATACTGAATTTACTGTTTCTTTCTTTTCTGTTTTTTTTTTGTGACTGCAAGGCAACTAGACATTTTAGAAGGCTATTCTTGTTTATTATAGAAAGGTAAATAATGAAACTGCAATGATAAATATGTTGGATATTTGACAGCACTGGTTTCATGCACTCCTAAGGAGAAAAGTCTTATAACACTGGGGGCAAGTCAGAGGGTTTATTGATGACTGGAAGTCAGTATTTGGCAAATTACTTACTGCAGGGATACTTTGGGTAGGGAAGTATTAAAAGAGAGGAAGGTGCTTGAACATGGTGCAACTATGGCTGAAGAATAATTATGCAAACATTTTCAGCTTCAGGCTTCTGAAGGACGTTAATTTTCCTCCAAGTCTGATTTCTTAACAAACTGCCACAGACATTAGACAGTTTAAAAAACAAGTGTCTCTGTTTCTCTACTTAATCTTACTCCCAGCTTACTTACTTACTTACTTACTCTCCCTTGCCTTTTCATCTTGCTGTATTTAAAAAAGTGAAACATTGTTGTCCTTTGCCTTGCTTGAAGGGACTAAAGAAAAGGAATTTACTGGCTTAAGGTGTCCAATCATCTCAGTCATGTCAGATGATACATATACGTGGACTAGCATTCATTGTTCCAGCGTATAGAGCTGCCTCTTTATGTGTGTTACAAGGACAGATGCTGAAGTCTTGTACTGTCAAAGATAGACCAAAGTTTGATTTGGTAGGTTTATACTATTTTTAAATAACTGCTGTAACTAGGCATCAGGAGACAGGTTGCCATACAGAGCTAACAGGTCCAAGAGTTGTAGATTCAAGATGGAAACTTGAAGTAGGTATTACTGCTGCCATTCTTCTTGAAGAGTGTTACCCTTAAATGGGTTCTGTGACACTTAATGTGCAGATAGTCTAGCATTTTTGCTACACTCTTGATTGCTGCATTATGTAATGTATAATTCAAAGGAAACAAAACTCATTATTGGTATGCGAAACTCAATATATACTTTCAAGAGTAAGGGAATTGCATAACAAAAGAAGGGATCAAAACCATCATAGACTAAATGGAACGTGAAAGGGGTCAATATATACTTTCTTTGGAGTATTTTTACATTGTAGTAATAATCCCTGAGTCTTCTGAATACTTTAGAAACCATTTTCGGAACAACTACTTAGTCTTCTTTCCATTGCAATATATAAAAAATGTCTTAAGTGTAGTAGATCAAGGGGGAATAGGAGAAGAGAACAAGGATAAGACAGAAAGGACCGACTACAGTTTTGTGGGTTTTTCCGTAGTTCACAATAGCACTTAATAATTTCACTTTATTGTACTTTTATTAACTTTTTCTTTGCATTTAGTTGGATATTTCTGGAGTGTAACTTTTTCTCATTTCATTTTTTCAATTAAAAAACACTGCCTTCTGCTAAACTGCTTGCATGGTCTTTGTCTTATATATGTGCCCTTGAAAGTAAATTAAGTGTGCATTTCTTTTGAACTTGCTGTGAAGGTTTTCTTGACAAAATGGAAGTGGACAAAGTTTAATAAATTAGTAAAAATACTGCATTCAGTAATTCAATAAAAAATTTTTTATCTTTGATGTCAGTGTAATTATTTTGCTGCACCTCGTGCCCCTCCCCCTCCCATTTGTGAAAACAGAAATGTATAATGGTGTTACAGATAATTCAATATAGACAAATATAATTTTTCAGATGACAAAAAAGTATTGGTTTAGTTTAAGTGAAATTTTCTAGTTTGATCCATAGAAATTTTATAACATGCACTGCAAAGGCAAATTGTATTTAATGCATTTAAATATTTAGTAAATACTTTCCTGATTGTTGTCATTTCTGTCTGTCAGTATTCTTTTAACATACAGCATACAGAAGGAGTTCTGTTTCCTTTATTATTCCATCATACTATACCCAAGTATGACATATTGAATGTCTTAAAGAGTGTGACATTCAGTAGTACAAGCAGATTAAATGTGCTAGTGTCTGTAGCAGAACAAGAGTCAGAGGCTTCTAGCTGAATCAAGTTGTCTTGATTTCAGTCTTGCTTCGTGAGATTGTCTTATGTGTGTGATAAGTGTGATAATTCGTGTAAGCATGACCTGCATTATACACGGCATTTCACATAGAAGCGAGGAATGCGGACACAGTATTTGTCAGTGAAAGGGCTTGGGGAACAGAAAAATACAGAAAGCTGTTGAAAAGAAATTTTCATTATGAGATCAGTGATTCAGAGGGCAGATATTGAAAGATAATTGAAAATATACTGTCCATGAGATGAATGAATTTAGGAGGGCCATGCAGGAAGTCAGATTCAAAAAAAAGCAAAATAGTGTAGAATATTGACAGCACTGGAATATTGACTGAAGTTTTCACTTTTTGATAGTAATGTTAATAGAAAGTTAGAATATTTTCATCTCATTTTCCAAGTCTTACTTATACATAGACCCTGTCACTGTGTCGTTCTGACATTGTGTCATTCAGAGTAATAAACATCAGATTTGACTTTTAACAAACATGAAGCCATCTAAAAAAACTAAGTGTTTTAGGTTTATTAAAACAAAATGTTTATTTTTTAAAAAAATAAGTTCCTGGGTTTAGGAGCTGGGTATTGGGCTTCCTAAAATGTTTGCCTGTTCAGCAGAGTCAGTTGTGGTGTTTCAGCCTTATTGAGTATCCTGTAACCAATTGCCTTTGCTCTGGGGAGCTGGGAAGTTTTTCAGGAGTAACTCACAATGGCTGCAGACTTTCACTGGAATTTGCTCCTGCAGTTCTTGCAATAATTTTTTTTACATTAACTATTTCTGCCATGAGTTAAAAAAACTCCACCTTTAAACAGCTTATTTAAGTAGAAGACGACATGCACTTTGTATATATTTGGTGGTATTTTGATGTTGTTCTTTTGGGTGGTGCAGTGTACCTAAAATTTTATACTTCCAGAACTCAGTATTGCCTTTGTACATTTATATGCAGTTAATAATACTTCTGACATTAAATGTGGTTCTTTGCAAAGACAAGCAATTTTATGACTTCCAGTGCGTTTAAAACATTTGGCTTTTTTCCCAAAGATATTAAAACTCTTCTCTGTTTGAACAGATGTGTAAACCGAAGTATTACTGCCTTATATACTTTGGTCTTGTTTAATGAGAGGTAGATTGATGTACATTTATGGGGGTTTAACATAACTTTAACACAGACATTTACATGGTTTGCCTTGTATTCTATTCAAGTTATACTTTCTTGAATCAAGTTATATTTTCTTGAATTAAATTATACAGCCCTAATTTCCTAACAGAGTGAAAAATACTCTGTCATATCATAGTGAGATAAGAATACTGTAAGTATTTTTCATGAAAAAATCCATAAAAATAAATATTTTTTAAGACCGTGGTTTCTTTCTTCTTTGAAAATACATTTTCCAAGTAAAAAAGTTAACAAATATATACAGAAACAGCAAGAGAACTGTAGAATATTTATCCTGTAGATAACATCTACTAATTCAGTCTTAATTTTGTTACTAGTATTATACTATTATTGGGAGAATAGGGTTTTTATCTTAATTGAGATGGGCTTTCAGTGTAGTTTAGAGTAACATAATGTTGAAGTAAAACTTTGGTCTTTGGAGCTGTACATTTGTCTTACAGTGAAAATTTATGTCTTTAGGTTCTGTAATATTAACATCTCTCTCTGTATGCTAGTTTGAGGTTACTTACCAAAGTAGTGGAGTGAGAACACATGTGAGATCCTAAGGCTCAACAACATTGTGAGCAGCCCATGAAAATAAAGGAAATGGACATGGATCAAGTAGAAAAACATTGGGAAGAAACAGTGTAGATTTGAAACCAGATTTTGAACAGCAAATGACAAGGTGTGAATGCAATTTGTGATTTAATCTCCAAAGTAGAGTCTGTAGGGAGACTGAAGATATCACTAAGCAGCTATGTTTTGGCAAAGGGGAAATTTTGGTGAGAATTTGTGAGAGTTTAAGAAAAATAATTCAAGTTTAAATAGGATCATATTTTTGTGCAAGATGTCAGAGAACCAAGACTTCCCTTCAATGTCCCTGGAATTTTGTGACTGAGCAGGGAGTGTGCATTTCAGCTCCAAATCCCAATCCTAGTGTTCAGTCTAGTAGTGCTAGTTACAAGGGACAGAATTGGGTGCATTTGGTTGCATTGTTACATCAGAGGCACAGCTGTTCTAATGACTTCCATGTCTCCTTTTACTAGAAAAATTATGAAGTTCCAGAAGACAATACTTCAGAGAAGAAAGTTGTTAAGGAAAGGCAAGAAATGTTGAAGAGCAGTAAGCAGCAGCATCTGTATGTTACACATCCTGTGACTCAGAGAAGCAAAAAAGTACACAGAGTAGGTTCAACCACCTTCTTGATTGGAAGGACACCCAAAGGAATACGCAGGTGAGACTGCTTTGGTGACTTGGAAGTAAAATTCTAAGGCTGAAACAAATTTCCTTTTGAGTAGTTGCATTTGTCTTTGTTTCAGCCCTGCTGAGACAATACTGTTATTTTCTATGCCAAGAGTGGAATTAGTGGGAAACTTAGACTCACACTACTCTGAGTACTGTAATTGATTAATAAAATTAATTGAATCCACAAATTACTTGAACGTGTTGATTCAACGGTCATATATTACATAACTCTGTAGATGTCATCACCATGAGTGTTTGTATTATGTGCGTCATGGGCTACTACAAAACAGTGTTTAAACTGTATAGAAGGGGGACAGTTTATAACATTAGCTTCTGACTGCCTATTGATTTTGCCCAGATCTCATCACTTGCATTGAATGGCTGTTAAAAAAAAGGGCTTCATGTTTCTTTTTTAGCATGGGGCTCAGTATTTTTCAATATCTCTTTTAATGCTTTTTTCCCTCTGTTCTTTTTGGAGGGATAATAATTTTTTGTTTCCTTGTTTTCTGTTTTCCCAAATGATTGCTGTTATTAATACGAATATTGATTTCCATTGTTATGCAGATAGAAATTCAATAAAAATAGCCTGATGGTTTGTGGAAATAGAAAGTGGAAAGCTGTAGCTGCATATTCAAATCTACAGAATAGGTATTTGGTAAATATTTTCAAATTGCCTTGAGACAAATAAATTACTATATGAAAGTTGGTATCTAGGTAATGCCTGTAAGCATTCAGAAGCTGTCATATCCACTAACTGGCTTCAGTTATCCCTACTGTTATTGTCAAAGTGCCAATAATTGTTCGGTTTTTTTACTATTATAGACACTGAAAATTATAAATATTTATTATGCAGGTAAAGGAGAACCCTTAATTCTAAAAATGTTCAAAATCTTAATTAGTTATGAAAAATCTATTGAGGTAAAATATTCAAAGGTGGTGAAGAGACTTAGGCTGTTATTCCAAGATTTAAAGCCATATCTAGCAAAAAGCTGAAATAATTCACTCTTGAGCATTGCGCAGATTGTTTGTTAGCACCTGGCATGCAGCTAGACTTTGTAGTACATGTGGATGTGCCATGGAGTGAATGAGGGTGATTGCATATCTCAGTTTGTTGTAATTGGAGGGCACAGTGGGGAGCTGTCTGCAGTCACCACACTCAAATGATTGGAGCTACCCAGTCAAGTGGTATTTGAGGCAAACAGGGTTAAATCTTACTGCCTTTCGGAGCCCTCATAACAGGAAAGGCAACATATTTCATATCTTTTCTCCAATGGGGGATTGTTGATCACTCAACTAGAGTGATCTGTTTTAATTAGAGGTTGGCTTTTTAGCAGAAACAAATATTCCATAATTCACCGGGGTAGGATGATGCAGACAATGTCTCCTGTGCATGCATTTATCCAATTTTTGTTTAGCAAGTCTTTTTTAAAAGGACTTGGAACAATTATTTCCTCCCCATTTCCCCCACCCCCTTGTTAAGGGTGTCAGCATAACACATTTTTCCTTCTTAATAATTACAGGAGACAATTTGAGGAAATGGTATCTCACTTTAATATGGGATCAGTGAAGGACCTTGCAGAACACATTGCAAAAGCTACATCAGAAACCAGGCAGAAAATGTTGAAGGAATTCTATGTTTCCAAGCATCCAGAGATGGAGTCTTTCTTCTCACTTGAAATACCAGCAGAAGCTTCACATAACTGTGAGGAAAGTGAACTGGGTACAACACGCTTCAGAAAAAGAAAATCCATTGTTAATTTTGCAAGATCCGAGTCTAGACCTTCATCAGATAAAGGACTGCTTCTGAGTGGAACTACAGAAACACAGACCCAGGAGGGCCATAAGAGAGAAGCAAAACAGCTTCGCAGGGACTCCTACTTGCAAGATATGCTTGTTGATGCAAAATATAAACAATCACCCACTATTGCTACTCGACATATCCAAAGAAGAAACAGTCAGGCATTCAAGGATTTTATGGCATCTGGCTCACGAAGCAGTAAATCAGAAATAATTGAGGTGCTGTCTGTAAAAAGTTGTGAAGGACAGCAAGACTCAGAAGAAACGCAGCTGCCAAAGGAAAGATCCGTGTCTCAGTCAGAAAATGGAGAAAGAAAAGCTCAGATTTGCAAGAAAAATTCTTTTGTGGACTTACTTGGAGATA